TATCTTTCTGTCCTGCAGCAATTATTGCTGTAAGGTGCAGTGTTTTTCATATTCAGAATGGCAAACTTAACGAATGAAAAGAAATAGCTTGTGCTTTGGTTCAGAATGAAAATATTATACATCTTTGAGATATTAGTTGCTAGTTTTAGACATACTTAAAAAGGGTTGAGAAACAGTGATCCTCCTAATCTTCATTTAGCCTTAGACATTAGCAGATACATGGTCGTAAATCTCTAATTAGCTACTAGTTACTTCGGGTAAGTTTTTGAAGATATTTTAAAGTATATGTTTGTAATAATACATAACTGACTCAACACTAGTTTTAAAGACTCTTATGCACCATTGTAAAATAAATATTACAGTTTATTAAACAAAAATAGATTTTCCATAGTAAAACTTGGTCAGAACAAAGGCACATTCCTAGGCCTGGGATTCAAAAGTGGATATTAATTCAAAGCAGCTGGATGCTGAGACTTCAAGAGAAACCAGTCCTGTCCTCCTGCTCTGGCCGTACAGAATCTGCTGTTTGACAGTATTTTGCTACTTTTCAGTGTTTCTGTATTCCTTTTACTGAGTAAGTGAGACAGAGAGACTGACAGCGGTAGAAATAGCATTTACAATCTTATGTCCAAGCTTTTGTATCCAAGAAAAAAATCCCAGAGAGACAATGATTCTTTAACACATTAGATAGACTTGGTCCACCTAAGGTAGGCTTGTCAGGTTAATTTTCTTCAACTCAGCTGACTTTACTGAATGGCTTTTATACATATGACTCCTTATTTAAACTTCTTCCACAGTTTACATCTAGTGGTCCCTAGTTGCATTTCTGGATTACTGTATCTTGAAACTAGTATGAGTTTATCTCTTACAAAAGCAATTACAGAGCCAAAGCTCAAGTATTATTAGATGGTCCTGGGGAGCTGGGAGGAAGAGATCCCATCCATCCAGATGGCGCTGGGGATCTCTGGGCAGTGCTCCCTGCAGCTCTTGTTAGTGACTGTTCCACAGTTGGTTGGTATGAGTGCATTTATTGCTTCTGTTTGGTCATGTGACACATACACATAATGATGACATTCTTATCTGCTGCAGAACCTAGGCTATTTAAAAAAAATCATTAACATGAAATAATTTTTCCGAAATAAGAGGGTTTTTTTTGTTTATTTTTTTTAAATCTTGTTACTTGTTACTGTTCGTTACTAAGAAGATGAAGAAACTCCCTAGGATTTTGAGTGAGACTTTTTCTGAGAAAGATTTTTGAATGAAATAGAGAATATTTTAGAAATTTGAGGTCTACAATCATAGGAATTTCCTTATTTTGTTCATACTCATAACAAAGTGATAACTGATGAAACTGTAGGTAATTGAAAGAGTTAAGAGGGTTTCTGTGTTGGATGAATTAGGGTAACAGATGGAAGGCATGTAGGTGGGAAAGCTATTATTTAAGCAGAGGAGGGCTACAGTATATTGGAAAGGGATGGATATATTTGAGGGTAGCTGGGATTTGGGGGATCAACATTTTGGGCACTAAATTAATAATGGTTACTAGTGGGCACAGTAAGAAGAGGAAGCCAGAGCATATGGCCAGGAAGGGAGTTAACAGGCCAGCAACAAAGAGGAAGAATGTAGCAGCTAAAATAAACGGAGGGTTGATGAGAAGGGGATAAAATGGTATTGAGATACTGAAAGGCCTTAAGAAACTAAAATACTTCAAGTAATAAGGAAATTACTTTGGTAATATTGATACTGTTACTTTCATTTGGGAAGTATCTTTGTATGAATAGGGAAAGAAATGAAAGAAGCAACTATGAAATACCACCTTATGTTTTCACCAATATGCATGTGAGTAAAAGGTGGAAAGGAAGTGAGAATCAGGTTAAGCCTTCAAGTCACATAGACAGGAAACCAGTGAAGAATGTTGAGATGCTAGATATTAAATGTTACCAATTATCAGACAGAAGAAGAGACAGACTGCTCCACATGTCTTCCTTATTTTCACATTTCATACTTACTTTCTTTTTTCAAAAAAAATATTAGGTCATGGCATAACATACTAAACAAAAACATTGTTTCACATCCTACTTTGGTGAGTAGTAACTGGGATCTTAAAAGCTTGCAAGCAGCTATCTAAATGCAATGATGGGTATCTCCTCGTCCACAGCAAAAAAAGAATGAAGAAAACCAGAGATACATAGAGTCAATTAGTCCAAGGGACTGGTGGACTGTGTCATCCTCAGCCTGTATGACCATGAGACCAGAAGAACTAGATGGTGCCTGACTACCTGTTAGCCACTCAAAGGGAGATCTATGTAGTAGACATGCATAGAGTGGGAGAACAATGTGGAACAAAACTCAAAATTATTAAAAATAAAAGTCCAGGTTTGCTGGTCTGATAGATCCTGGTGAAACCCCTGAGACTGTGGCCCCTAGCTGCCCTTCAGGTCTGGAACTGACCTTACTCCTGTGGCTTCCAGCCATATAAAAAACCGGCATATGGGCTGAACATTTACGTCAGGTAGATACACTCCTTGGAGAGATCCATCATGGAGAACAGAAGGGCAGTGTATGCACAAGGAGACCACTGAGTGGGAGGGGGGGGCAGGAGTACATGGGAGGGAAGGACACAGGGAAGAGGTAACTATGGGGAAGAAGAGAACCATTACATTGTGGGAAATTGCAGTCAACGTTATGAGACAAAATATGTATGAACTGCTGTGTGGAAAATGTATTTGTTCTGTAAATTGTCACCCAAATCACATACACACACACACACACAAAATTATTCTTAATTTTCAATACATTGGTTCAGTAAAAGCCCATGAAAACAAGCAAACAAAGAAAAAATTGCTTTGGTTATGTTGGAACAATGCCTGTTTCCTGTTGTGCTTTTGGCTCAAGGTAGTAAGTTTGCTAAGTCACCTACAGGCCGAGCCATATTTTCATCTGGATCTCAGGTTGTGTTAGATATTTATGAGATAACATTCATCAAGGTACCTCCAAAGTGCTAGATGAATGCAAGGTGGTATTAGCAATATAGTAATCCCTTGTATTAGTGGATGACTTTAGAGTTTAGATACATTCTTGACTGAGTTTTAAAATAGATTCCGCAACTTGTCAGCATAGTCTCTTTCTTTTAGGTATATAATTAATCGAAATATTAATTAGAAGAGAGAAACAAATTTATGAATTTTTATTATTTAATGGGGAAAAAATGGAGTAAAACACAAAATAGAATTATAGAAAGCACAGAGAGGACTGCATAGTTACTACTTCTTTAAAGTATATATTAAAATTAAGGTATTAATAGAGTTTTAGAAATTTCCATTTAGATTCATGTTTTATACAGCCCTTTAGTTCATGTATCCATTGAGAATTATGTTAAAAATTGATGTGTCCTCCCCCCAAATATGTATGTATAGATATAAATCTATAGATACATGAGCAGAGATTCCCAGAACGGCCATCCAGGTAACATAAATATGTAAACGGACCAAGTAAAGTACAATGGAGAATGGTGACACTTGTGTCAAAATAGGAAGTGTATGCCAAGTTAAGACAATGGAGAATGGTGGGGTTTATGATAAACTAGATGCACATTCCTTGCCTAAAGTAAATTCAAATCCAAAAGGATTTTTTTTTTTTTTTTAGTTGTGATCTGGGTGAAAGTTTACAGAGCAAATTCACTTTCCATACAGCAGTTCACATACACTTTGTCTCATGACATTAACTACAATTTACCACAATGCAACAGCTCCCCTCCCACTTCCTCCCCATAGTTACCTCTTCCCAGTGTCTATCTCTCCATGCACTCCTGCCCCCTGAGCTGTCTCCCTGTGTATAAGCAGCCCTTCTTTCTCCCATGATTGTTCTCTCTAAGGAGTGTATCTACCTCAGGTACGTCTTCACCTCATATGCCTGTCTTTTGTTTGGCTGGAAGCCACAGGTGTGGGTTCAATGCCAGACCTGAAGGGCAGTTAGGGGCCATTGGTTCCACCAGGCTCTATCAGATCAGCCAACTTGGTCCTTTTTTTTTTCTTTTTTCCAAATGTTTTTGAGTTTTGTTCCACATTGTTCTCTCACTCTATCCAGGATCTCCTACATAGATCCCCCTCCGAGTGTTTGACAGTGGTAATCTGGCACCATCTAGTTCTTCTGGTCTCATAGTCATATGGGCTGAGGATCACGTGGTGTACCAGTCATTTGGACTAATTGTTTCCATGAATCTATGGTTTTCTTCATTCTTCTTTGCTCTGGACAAGGAGAGACCCATTGCTGCATCTAGATGGCTACTTGCAAGCTTTTAAGATCCTTGTTGCTACTCGCCAAAGTAGGAGGTGGAACAATGTTTTGTGTAATGTGTTACGTCAATTGAGCTTGATGTCCCCTACGACCATGGTCCCAAGCCCACAGGTTCAACTACTCACTCCCTCTAGGTAGCTGGCTGTGGCCAAGAAGTGACTACAACTTATTCCCTTGTCAGTTCTACTATATACCTGGAAATTCTTACAGAACATACAAATACACTTGTAGAAACATTATCTGCCAACCCTATACATGGTCATGGGTACATTACCCCATGCATAGATATACCTAATAGTTCAGCCTGTTCACCCATCTGTCCACCTCTATAGCCATGTTTGCCTTCATGGATGATGTAGTACTGTATGTGCAAAAGAGTTCATCTTTGTTGTCTATACCAAAAGGTATTTTTTAAAAAATCAAAACCAAAAACAAACTCAGTTCCATCAAGTCGATTCCAACTCATAGCGACCCCCATTGGGTTTCCGAGGCTGTAAATCTTTATGGAAGTAGATCGCCCCATCTTCCTTCTATGGAGCAACTTGTGGGTTTGAAACTCTGACCTTCCTGTTAGCAGCCAAGTGCCTTATACAGTTCATTCTCAGTAAATTTGGTCCCTAGCTGCTTCTTCCCTGAGTTTGCAGTTCCTCTGCCCAAGCTTTTATTATGTGTAAACATGGGAGTATTTTTGTTTTTGCCCTAAGGCACGACAGCAAGCTCAAATACGTCACCAAATGGCTGAAGACAGCAAAGCAGATTACTCATCAATTCTCCAGAAATTCAACCATGAGCAGCATGAGTTTTACCATACACACATACCCAATATCTTTCAGGTAAGTGATTCAAAGCTCTCAGATTGCATGTTTTGATTTGCTTAGAAATGTATTGCTTCTGAACCATGATTTCTGGGTTTTGTGTTTATACAATTCTAAATTCCCACTAACTGAAATCATTTTGTAGAACACTTAGGTCAAGCATTGACTTGCAAAAAAAGAATTAAAAATAATATTCATTTTAGGATTAATCAGTAGCCTTTGCAAATTCCCAGATCTGTGAAGCTAGTCCTTTAGTTTGTATCTGCAACCATTCTTCACCAGTTTAGAACCAATTCTTTGAGTAATACTTTCTTTGCTAAAAGGAACATTCTCGTTATAAAAATGCCGACTGAACTTGAGGAGTTAAAGCAGTATTGATTTAAACTGTTACACAATTCTTTCCTTTTGATTGTTTTTCTTTTGGGTACTTTAGGTTGTCAGAAGTTGTATGAGCAAAGATATATGAATATTCTCCCAACTTGGGAATCTTTTACAGTTTAGAGTACAGCTAAACAAAAATAATTCTTTCATTTTGGTGTCTATCCACACAGCAAGTAAGAACTTCCAAATCATAGAAGGTATTGTTTATAACTCAGCAACCAAGCCAGTGTTGGGTTGAGACAGTTAACAAAATACTGTGCTTTTGGTAAAGGATAAAGTGGTGGATCAAAGGTGGAGAAAGTATTTGAAATGTATGGTCAAATGATGTTAATAGTAAAACTAGTTGAGTTTGGGGAGTTTTACTGACATTGATATAAAATTGTGCAATTTTTGGCAGCCTAACAATTCATACAATATGTCTACACCTGGCTACTATAGAGGTACAATAAATGTACTGTTGCACTAACTTTCACCCTGTGGTATTGGCTCATTTCCTCCTGGAGAACTTGTTAGACTTAACAGTGCTGTCAAAAAACAACTTCTGTTTAATTTAGTGGACTAAATTAATTTCTATACAAAAATCTAATGTTGCAGAAAATACAAGAGATGGAGGAAAAGAGGATAGTGAGAATCGGAGAATCAATGAAGACATATGCAGAGGTTGATCGGCAGGTGATACCAATCATAGGCAAATGCTTGGATGGAATAGTAAAGGCAGCGGAATCAATTGATCAGAAAAATGTAAGTATTATATTTTGGGCTTAACTAACAACTAAATGTTTCTGTTCCCATGATTTCAAATGGGTAGGTAGATTCTAACACTTACAGCCGTTAGTTAGATGTGGCAAGACCTGCTCCCTTCTCCCCATTCCATGTTGTCCTCACTTATCATGTCATGGTAGGTAGGTGGCTTTTGTGGTCACCGTAGAAGTGCTGTCTTTCATCAGCAGCAGCACCACTTTAGAGTTCTTTTATTCAGCCCTCTGTGTTTTAGAGTAACTCTCTAAATTAATTTGTTTTAGTGGTAAAGTTTGTGAGACAGTATAGATTTAAATTGAAGTGTTTTCTTTTTGTTACTTGGCTGAGTGAGCCCCCACTTTGGGGTCTGACTGATTTCTAGAAAAAGGCAAGCTTTAACTTCCTTTAGCATAGGGTTTATTTAGGGCATAGTGAATATTTCGGGTCAGATAATTCTTTGTGTGGAAGGCATGCTGTCCTGTGCATTGTGGGATGTGTAATAGTATCTCTCGCCTCTACCTACTAGATGCCAGTAGCACTCCTAAGTTGTGACAACCAAAAATATCTCCAGACATTGCCAGATGTCCCCTGGGAGGTAAAATGATCTCTGATTGATAATCACTGCTTCAGGGCCAATGTTAATCAATTTGGATTCCTTTCCTAGAAACCTATTTCCATCAACAAAAATGTCGACTAGATCACCAACATTGGCTTTTGCAAACATTTAATAATTTGCAAAACCAAATATTTAACATAAAAGCTATGCCGTAACATATAGGCTGAACATTTACATTAGGTAGGTACACTCTTTGGAGAGATCAATCATGGGAAAACGGAAGGGCAGTGTGTGCACAGGGAGACAGCTCAGCGGGGGACAGGAGTGCATGGAGGGAAAGACACAGGGAAAGAAGTGGGAAGAGAGCTGTTACATTGTGTGAAATTGCAGTCCATGTCATGAAAGAAAATGTGTGTGAACTGCTGTATGGAAAATGAATTTGCTCTACAAACTTTCACCCAAATCACAATAAAAATTAGAAAAAAAAAAAAAAAAACTATGCCATAAGTCATCTGAGTCATCAGGGCTTCTTAAAATGTGAGGCCAGGCAAGAGATTGAAGTACTCTTCCCTTGTGAATAGATCACCTATCAGCAGACAGATTCTTCATTGCTCCAAGAACATGTGATGTGTAGTATTAAAATGCAGAGTCATACATGTAGAAAATTTGTCAGTGTAACATGCACGAATGCTTCCAAAAGTGTTAAGTGGTAAATATTTATAGAAAGGATAGTTTTCTGGTAGGAGGATTGTTTTTAGAGTTCTTTGCTCCTTAAGGAGCTCTTGTGGTATAGTGGTTAAAGTATTCGGCTGCTCACCAAAAGGTTGGCAGTTTGAACCCACCAGCCACTCTGTGGGAGAAAAAAGTAGCAGTCTGCTTCCATAAAGATTTACAGCCTTGGAAACCCTGTGGGGCAGTTCTACTCTATCCTAAAGTGTCACAATGAGTCAGAATCAATTTGATGGGTGGGGGTTTTGTTCCTTATTAACACCTCCTTGTCTAGAGCATCCTTCTTCAATGGTCTTGGCTAACTTTTAGGGAAAAAATTCTGGAAGCTTCTGAATTGGTCCTTCCCCCAAACTCTTTTATACCAACAGGTTTTCTCTAAAGTGATCAAACCATCCTTTTCTTGAGCTGAAAATGTCTTTGCTTATTGGTTTTCTTTGTTTTGGACTTCTCAAAGGAGAAAGTACTTTTGCTGAAGTTGTTGCTTGGTTTAGAGAGATGTGAGTTCTTTGTCACTGGACATGCCTCATTAAGTCAAGTTTTCCATGTTAAGAGTCTCCCCATTCCATTTTCTTGTTACTGTTGCTTAGTCATCTCTCTGCATCTTTGGTTTTGTTGAAGTCTTTTCGTAGTTGTAAATGCCTGGGTTGTAGCAGGAAATCAAGAAGTAGTTTCAGTGAAGCTTTCCTTGATCACCCTGTTTAAAAAAGCTCAATGAACACAAATAAATTAATATGGAGGTCTTCTAAAGAGAAGTAGTAATAGTGGAGTTAAGTTAAACCTTTAACAGTCAGGTCACTTGTATGTATGTATGTTGACTTTTAGCTTTGTTGACTTTGGGCATTGACTAAAATCTGAAAGTAGCCTGATTTTAATTTCTTACATTAGAAGCTTGGAAATGTCTTCTTCCTTGAACTTTCACAATTTCATAAGATTATGTCTGAATGATGGTTTCCATCTATCAGTTTTATGGGGGAAGTTGTAAACTGTATAAATTGAAGATTTATACAATTCTTCATTTCCTTTTATAGGAGCCTTGCTTTCATAATTCTGTTTCACCAGTGACCTCCATGTTGTTAAATCTAAGGATCACTTTATAAGTCTTCATCTTACTTAAACTATTAGTAGCATTGATCTCCCACTTAACCACTCTTCCTTTCTCCTTCACTTGGCTTCTAGGAAATCACACTGTGATGGCTTTTATCCCCCTCTCATCTCAGTCTCCTTTGCTTGTTCTTCTTCCAGCTATTTAACTTTCAGATGTTCCATGGATCAACACTAAGTCCTCTTTACTATTCACAGTCACTCCTTAAGTGATCTACAGATTCTCAGAGCATTATGTCCCATCTCAATGTTGACTTTCAAATTTTGTATTTCCAGCCTGGACCTCTCCCTCAAACTACCTTTGCATGTTAAGTATCTGTGACTGGCTTCTGACACCAACTCTAAACGTCTTCTCTGACACCAGCTGCAAATCCAGTTCTTCTGACCATAGCCACCAAGAGCTAAGGCAGATCTCAAGTTATAAAGGGCACAGACTCCAGACTTCAAGTGTGCCCAAGACTTTAGACACCAGCTACATGTTTGGGGTCCCAACAGCACCCTCACTTCTGACCTACAAATCTGGGCTAGCTACAAATTTGAGAATTTCCACTACCCCCTTGAGATACCAACTGCAAGCTTAGGGGCCTCAAGGCCTCCCTTACTTCTGACTTGCTAGCTATAAATTTGGGGATACCCACTACTCCCCTCATGTTTGATAATTCACTAGAATGACTTACAGAACTCAAGAAAACACTATGCTAACAATTACAGTTTTCTTTATTATAACAAAAAGATGCAAATGATAAGATCTAGGATGGTCCTCAACATGGAGCTTCCATGTCCCAAGGGAATCATCCCCTTTCAGTGGATGTCTATCACCAACCAGGGAGTTCACCTGCACTCCAGGGTCCAGAGTTTTTATTGGAGTTTCATTAACTAGGCTTGATTGATTGAGTCACCGTCCATGTGTGTTTGAACTCAGTCTGTAGCTACCCTCCCCTTCCCAAAGGTTAGATTGTTATCAGGTGATGGGTCTTTCTGGCAGTCTGCTCTATCCAACATGCATCACCTCATTAGCATAAACTCTCAGGTATGATCTGGAGCCCCTCCATGAATAATACTCCAATCACTGGGGAGAGTCCAAGGGTTTAGAGATTACCTCCTAGGAACTGGGAACAATGTCCAAAATCTTTGGTTAGAGTTGGTTGTGTACCTCACAGATGTCTAACAGGTACTTAACACAGTCAAAATGGAGCTTCTGACCTTCTTGCCAAACTCACTCTACTCATAGCCTTCACCATCTTGGTTAATGGTAATTCCATCCTTCCAGTTAGATCTTGTAGTCATCCTTAACACTTCCCTTTTCTCAAACGCTGTGTCAATTTGTCAGACAGTTCTGTTGACTCTACCTTCAAAATGTGTTCAGATCCTAGCTAGCTCTCACCACTTACACTGTTACTCTTCTCATCCAAGTCTTAAATCTTTTGTCTGGATTACTGCAGGAGGCACCTAAGTAGTCTCCCTACTTCTGCCCTTGTCCCCAGCTATTCATTCTTAACACAAAGGCCAGAGAGATCCTTTTGAAATGAGTTAGAACATGTGCCTTCTCTGCTTAAAACCCTCCAAGGGCTTCTATCTCTCTCAGAGGAAAAGCTAAAGTCAGGATGTCATCTATTCTCATTCTCCCTAGTGCTCTAGCCTCAATGACCTCCTAGGTATTCCTTGAAAACTCCAAGCTGTTCCCTCTGCCTGGAATGTTCTTCTGCAGATATCTGCAGCATTCACTCCCTCACCTCCTTTGGGTCTTTACTTGAATGAATTAATGTTTCACTTTGCTCTGTCTTTGAGAATTCAAAGGTCTGGTCTTTCTTTATCAATATAAATCATCTTATCTTGCACACTCTCTTTATCTTCCAAACATTCCTTCTGTGCTTTAGATTTGTTTTCCAAGTTACCCTCATTTTTAGATTCAGATTTTGGAAAAGTTAATTATGGTCTTACTGCTTTGATCTTAGGTATTTTTATGGAAATTTCCATTTCCTTGTACCCTTTTTAACTGTGTTTGTTCATGTTTAATTGCTCTTATATCCTTTCTAAAATCTTATCTTGAGAAAAGTTGCTAATACTTTTATAAATTCTTCAGTGGACATTCACTGAACACCTGCTTCTCTCCAGGCCTGTGGTCCTCGCCATGACCGGCTGAGGAGGACCCTAAGGGCTCAGAGAGATTACAGTCCTGCATAGGGTCACTTAGTGAATTTGTCTGGCTCTGAAACCTGTGTTCTTTCTTCTAAACCCCACTACTTTCTTCTTTTTACTTTTAAAAGAAGTCCAGTGATTGGCACATGTTTAAATCTACTCACTCATTCACAAGTGCCAGGTACTGTTGTAAAGTAGGAGCTAGACAACAGAAATGAAAAAATAAAACAGAACATTATTTAGAGTATTCAAACATATTTAGGCATTTGGAAAACATAAGTAGGAAAGGGTGATAGGAAGTGCCTGATGGATGATAGTATGCTGAGAGGTTATATTTGAAGGAAGACTTGGAGGAGGCGATTTAATTATTTAAATGGACTAGAAGCTCTTAGCCCTGCCACCCACCAGCAAACTGATGCCCTCTCCCCCTTAGGACAGTTTTAAAATACATGCTTACCTAAAAGGGTAGTTTCCATTTAAGGCACCCCCATAGTGCAGTTGTTAAGTGCTCAGCTGCTATGCGAAAGGTTGGCAGTTCAAACCCACCCAGCATCTAAACGAGCTGAAGATGTGCCAATCTGCTTCCATAGAGATTAGAGCCTAGAAAACCCTATGGGTCAGTTCTACTTCGTCACGTGGGTTCACTCTGCATTGGAATCGGCTTGATGGCACCTAATAACAACAACAATTTCCATTTATATAGTTTAGTTTTTTGCTTGTGCAAAAGATGTTTATGGGTAGAAGGTCCAACAATGGCATGGATGAATGGTCCATAAAATCTTAACAGATTCAGACTCCTTCTAATTCACAGTTTTTGATTATATGACCTTCAGACTTGTGATCTGGGGAGCCCCGACCATCACATCAAATTGCAGAAACCAGAACACGAGGAAGAATGAAGAACCCATGCCGTCCTTTTGAAGAGACTTCCTAAAATTGCGTGCTATACTGCCTATAGCATATAGGTCAAAACTTAGTCATGTGCCCACATCCTGTTGTTCAAAAGGCTAGGGAGAGGAACCTCTTAGCTGGGTGGCAATGTGGCCAACTCAAAATCAGGGTTCTTGTTACTAAGAAGGAAGGGTAACTGGCTATTATAAGATAATTGGCAGTCTCTGGCATAGCTGCAAATTAAATAGTAGCTGAAAGAGCTACAACTGAGTAAAATGTGGAGGTTTGGTGATAGAAATCACACCTTCCACACAGGAGCCCTAGCTGATTCTTGGCCAGTGTGCCCCACGTGCAGCCACCCTGTCTGTCCGTCGAAGCTTGTGTGTTGCTGTGATGGTGAACTGGTTCCAGGGGTGTTTCCAGATTAACATAGACTGGGATGAAAGGCCAGCAGTCCACTTCTGAAAATGATTGAAAACTGTGAATCACAGTGATTCGATCGCAGCTGAGCATGGGGATGGTGCGGCACCAGGCAGGATTTCATTGCTTTGTGCTTGGAGTTATTAGAAGTCAAAGGCTCGCTTGATGACAGCAGCTAACAACAACAATTAAAATATGAGCTCATATTAAGAACCTTAAATCTCTCCAAATTGCCTTCCTCGGTTTTTTTTTTTTTTTTTAAGTAAATAGTTGTTGAGTTAGATTGCAATTCCAAATCACATGTGGGTTTGTTTGATTTTTTTTCCAACACTATCCATACATCTGTGGGAGCTCTGGTAGCGTAGTGCCTCAGGCACTTGACTGCTAACCAAAAGGCTGGCGGTTCACACCCACCAGCCACTCCTCAGAAGGAAGGTTGGACAATCTACTTCCATAGTGACACTGCCTCAGAAACCCAAGGAGGGGACGCTATGAGTCGGATCCAGATCCGACTCAACGGCACATAACAACAACAACGTACATCTGTTTATCTATCTGTCACACTTGTAGTTGCAGCTTCCTTATGTGTATTTGCCTCCCCCAGTTGACTCTGAGCTCCCTGAGATATTGTTGGCCCAAAGTTCCAGCAGAGTGCACGCCATTCATTTCATTAATTTATTCAGTTAACATTTATTGTACAGCATTGTCGGTTGGCATCATGTAAGTGCTAGAGATGCAGTGGAGGGAAAACAGAAAACTTGCATTCTAATGAGAGCGATAAACAATTAATATATGGGTAGACACACACACATACATATCTTAGTTATCTAGTGTAGCTATAACAGAAATACCACAAGTGGATGGCTTTAAAAAACAAATTGATTCTCTTACAGTTTAGGAGGCTAGAGGTACAAATTCCGGGCAGCAGTTCTCTCTCTGTTGGCTCTGGAGGAATGTGCTTGTCTTCTTTCAACATCTGTGGGCCCAGCGTACCTTGGAGATCTACTTATGTCTTGACATCAGTCTTCCCCTGGGTCTAAAAGGTTCTCAGCATAGGTACCCCAAGTCTAAAGGACATGCTCCACTCTCAGCTCTTCTTTCTTGGTGGTACTGAAGACCCTCCTTCTCTGTTCACTTCTCTCTCCATTTCTCTCTTTCAGATAAAAGGTAATGCAGACCACACCCCAGGGAAACTCCTCTTGCATCAACTGAGCACTGTAACCTGAATAAGGGTGTTGCATCACAACCCTAATCTCTTTTACAACAGATTGGTTGATTGTATCATATCACATCATGGGGGATGATTTCAATATTACATAACTTCCAGACCACTGAGAATTGTGGCCCAGTCAAGCTGACATATATTTTTTGGGGAAACAGTTGAATCCATGACAATGTATTAAGAAAAATTAAGCAATAAATTAATATCCCTGAACCACAATGACCTAAAAAATTAGAAAGAAAAGCAACTCTTTGCTTTGACTTTTTGTCAAAAATTGCATGAAGTATAACCAGGTTTTTGTATTACTGTATTTTCCAATGGAGTTACATAACCATAGTCCATTGATTTTTCTACTTTTTAACAAAGTAGCCTTTAATTGATATTTAATTGTAGAAAAGTGGTTATTGGAAGTATCTTCAAATCTCAGTTAGATATGTAGTTTTACAAATTAGAGTATTTATAATGAGAAAAATATAACTAGCAAGAATCTATTATCAGTCAACAAAGCTTTTTTTGAATATCATCTGTGTGAGTTCATGTCATAATTCATTATATGAAAAGTACCCATTTGAATTTATTTGTGTATGGGGGGGTGTAATTTCAGGATTCACAGTTGGTGATAGAAGCTTATAAATCAGGGTTTGAGCCTCCTGGAGACATTGAATTTGAAGATTACACTCAGCCAATGAAGCGCACGGTGTCAGATAACAGTCTTTCCAATTCCAGAGGAGAAGGCAAACCGGAGCTTAAATTTGGTGGCAAATCCAAAGGAAAGTTATGGCCGTTCATCAAAAAAAATAAGGTACTGATGGTTGGCTCCAGTGTGAAATGAGTTTTGAAAAGTGGAAATTCTGACTTTTTTACGCTTAGAAGAGAGATTTTAAACCTTTAGTTTCAGAATGCAAAAGCTAGTGTGTTACTTTATGTTAAAGCAGTGTTTCTCTGGTGGTGGTACCCTTGCCATGGCCATTTGTCTTACTTCAGATGCATTGTCACTTGTACCGTGTCACACACACTAACAGATTACTGACCTTTCGGCTGTTTCTCATCCCTCCTTACACTCCTAAGTCTCCTAGACTGCTGGTTCCCTTGGCTGGGGAAGGGCGTATCACGTACTCTTAATAACAATTTATCAGCACATCTAATTGAATTGCTACCATGGGTTAATAACTTGGTTTTGAATTCATGTTAACATGTATATCCATGAACATTTCATTTTCTTTTCATAGTGTGATACATAGGTGCATGACAGCATTAACATGGGGACATAAAATAGGATCGACAACACTACTGCTATAATCTTAGAATATATTAATATTTCATTTAAAAAGACTGTCTTGTTTTCACCTTAGCGTTTAAGGTCTTTCATTTCCTTCCTTCAAGCTATGTTAGTTTTAGGTAGCTTAGAAATATTTATTTTCCCCTCTGGCTTACACTGGTTTAGAATAACTAATTAGTACTGTAGTTTGCATGTGAAAGTCTGCATGAGCTTCTTGTCAAGTATTTCTTCCTATTCTTCTGTTGCGTTACTTACTAAAATTCCCACTTTCATCCTATTCTTCATTTAACATACTCTACATGTTTTCTTTTGGACCATGGCCTAAATATTTGATTGTGTTTTACTTGCTTTGGGTTTCAAATATTATTTGATGCTTATTTTTGTTTTGTGTCTTATCTTCTTGTTTCTGATTTTTACTCTATCACTGCTCCATCTCTTACATGTAGCTTATGTCCCTTTTAACATCCCCTCATCAGCCTCCCCCTCCTCCCCCTGCCTCTGCCTCACCCTCTGCTGTTCCCAACGGCCCCCAGTCTCCCAAGCAGCAAAAGGAACCCCTCTCCCATCGCTTCAACGAGTTCATGATCTCCAAACCCAAAATCCACTGCTTCAGGAGCCTAAAGCGTGGGGTAAGTTCTGCTCTGGAATCCTGTCTCTCTTGCGTGCTTTTGTTGCATCTTTTGTTCTGCATAACTTATTTTGTTTGTGAATGGATCCATTGTGTTTTCCCACATCATTTAAAAAAATAAAAGAAAAAAGAAGAACTCGTAATTCATTATAGCTAAGAAGAAGAAGAAAGATAGAACAAGAAGGAAAGGAAGAAGCAAGGAGGATGGATGGAAGGAAAAAGAGAGAAACCAAGCCAGCCCAGGATTCTTTTTCATCTCCAGTACATTTTGGGAAGACTTTTTCCCACCTCCCCTTTATAACATCTAAGTCATTACTATTTTACCTTGATTTTACCAAAAAAGGAAACTTAGATTCAGTTTCTAAAACTAGTAACATGTAAGGAATCAGAAGCCACTGTATAATCAGAAAATATTTGCTTGATAATCACTAAAGCATTGTGAGTGTGAGAAGGATCCTTCTTTTTGAGCTATGCTTTGGGATTTTAAGGGGAAATGTCATAAATCACAGTGGTTTCACCAGCTACTTTCTTGAAATTGTAAGATGTTGATAAATTCTGGGCACATTATCAGGAGGGACCAGTCTAAGAGAAGGACATCATGCTTGGTAAAGTAGAGGGTCAGCAAAAACGAGGAAAACCCTCAGCAAGATGGATGGGCACAGTGGCTGCAACAACAGGCTCAGATGCAGCAATGCTTGTGAGGATGGTGCAGGACTGGGCGGGGTTTCAGTCTGTTGTTCACAGGGTCACGGAGTCGGGACCAACTCAGTAGCACCCAACATCAACAACAAATACAGTATCAGGTGACTGGAAAAGGCCTAATGCACTGTTTATGTTTAAAGGGTGAAATACCAGTAGCAGCTGCCATTTACTGAGTGCTTTTCAGGTGCCAGCCTCGGTTCTGGATATTCATTTACTCTCATTCACCCCCCTGTGAAGCCTAGGTACTAATTGTTCCTTATTTTACTGATAAGGAAATTGAGCATAGCTAGGTTAAGGGTGTGCCTGAGATCAAGCTAGGAAGATGTAGAGCCAGGATTTAAATCCAGAGAGTCTGCCTACAGAGTCAGATTCTGGGACCCCTGTAGGGAAAGTCTGTTCTGACATGGTTAGCTCATAAGTAGATGTTCTTCACACTCAAATTTGCCATCTTAATTAAGATTGGATGCACTTGAGTCACAGGGTTTGATGGAATTTATCCAGCAACCCAATGTAGATGCTGTTTTGGTTTATAGGGAGAAAAAAAAAAGGTATAAAGTAATTTGTAGCCTCCCTAAATAAATCTATATGGCCAGTCTAGTCTAAGCCTTCCCGAAATACTTTTTTTCATAATGAATAATGAATGTGGCGATTCTGAGTGAACGGACATTTAGTGCATTATCATCCAGTAAGGTTTTTTTTTTTTTCTTCTATCTTATGGGAGCTGCAAGGCAATTGTAATGGGATGTTTTCTTGTACGTACATAGATCTCCCAGCTCTCCGATCAACTCATAATGAGTTACTTCTTTCCATATATTGCCTGATAGTCACTGCAGAAGCCAGAGCTAGATGCCAGCCTTTAGGTGAACAAGCGGCTTGAGCAGGTAAAGTTAAGTACAGTATGAGTCCTAAACTAAGAATTCCTAACTTTTGTTTTCTCAAGTGTCAACTGACACATTATCAGGAAAATAGATTTCAAGTCATGACTAATTAGCTAGATGAGACACGTGTCCTTAGATTGGGCATCAGCAACTGGTTACCAGGAAGAGACTACCAGAAACACTGTTGACCTGACAGTGATGTTTTTTCAAGTCTACAAAAAAAGTCCTCAGTATAAAAATCATTGTAAATATATAACTGATATAATTATCTTTTAAAGTAAAAGATAAAACAATTTCTTTATATACAGAGTTCCTTTAATAAGAAATCTCAATGTTTCATGACAAGAATATAGTCAGTTGGTGGGCATTGATCGATGGAATTATCTTATTTTAGGTTAGCCATCATATCAGCATAAGAATTAGAAATTTAATTTTCTAAATATTTTAAGAGAACCCCTGTTAGGAGTCAGAGTGTGACTTCAGACGTGGGTGATGGATCACATTGGGCTCTATTATTAGGCCTTCCTGAGGAATCCGCAGCTTCCTAGCTCAGGAATGCTGCTTTTCATAACTGCTCCTCCAGCTCCACTCTAGATGTTCATTAAGAGTTTCTAACATATGATCAGGGTGTTTTTGCTAGACTATGAAGTGTTATGTTAACTATAAGTTAAGTTAACCCATCTCTTCCACTTCTAAGACCTTTACCAAGCATTCATTTATTATTTTTATAATAAATATCTTTGTGTTTGTCTTTTGGAATCTCATCTTGGAGTATATTGAATATTCCTGAGTATTTATCATTTGTTTATGTGTCTGTTCCATTTCTCCTCTCAATCTCCCAAAGTCTTTTGGTTGTGAATGGTTTCTGAGTCTGTGTTTCATGGTGTTCTTTAAATTTAATAAAAGACCAAAAGATGTCAGTATTGGTAAGTATAAGAACAAGATGACTAGGAAAAAAAAAAAAGTAACTCTTGAGAACAAAACCCGGTAAAATGGAAAGCTGGTTATTTTGATGATTTAAAGGAAAGCTCTCTTTTTACCATAATTAGCATAATGAACTTCATTTCCTAGTTCTCGAATCCGTGTTCAACCAACTGTTTTCAAAGATCTCCTAAATGGTGAGTGTGGTTTTCTGAAGATAAGCATACACATACATTCTGGAAGCATTAGTAAATAGATATAAATGCTTTGCTTCCATCATTTTTGGTCAGTCTCAGTTCTTAGTTAGGGTCAAATATAATGTTCCTTTTTTCAGGAAATAACAGTGGAAAAAAAAAAAAAAGAAAGAGGAAATACATCCTAGAAGTAAAATTAGGAAGTTCATAAAATGAATCTGAAGTTTGGGGAAATAAATTTGATTTTAAAGTAATCTCCATATGGGAGGTATGTGTTTTACAGGATCTGTGACTAAATGATACAATCATTGCCACCATATGGTTTGTTCTGCTTTTTAACTTAAGACTATTGTACCAAAGAGAATTTAGTTAGGAAACGCATCCTAGGACAACAACAAATCTATTAATTTAACGTGTCTTTTAATTTGTCATGTTTTACAGCTTTCTGGTCCAGATTTCAATTATTGTTTCTGTCATCAGAATGTATAAATCCTATGCCAATATTTCTTAGCATAACTGATTTTGTTTCTAAACGCTTAAACAGGTTAAAATATTTCATTGGAAGCCATTGATACTTGTAACAAAATTTCATTTCATCAAACATCTTTAATGATTGGTATGCCACTTAAGCATTAGCAGTTACTGCATCTTTATGTAAGTCACAGAAAAATGAAACTAGATAGTCTGCAATCTACAAGTTGTCATTTTATTGCCTTGAATTAAGATCTGTTTTTCTGGTCAGAGCAAGAGACTTCTAAACCTAAAATATTGACATATTTTTCCCTGTATGTTAGAGTTAACTTTATGGAAAAATACCACCAAGGTGGATCAAGAGATCTTGAAAATTCTTACCAATTGTTTGTCAGATGTTACAATCTTGTGGTTATTTTAATATTATTTATTTTATCTTGTTTTCTTGCTGATTATTGGCAGACTCAGTCTTTCTGTTTTCACAAAGAACTCATGAAGAGGACAATAGGGAAACCCACGTATGCCTTTGAGGCTAGGGACTATGTTGTAAGTTCACCTGTGACGGCCAGGTCATACAGTCACGGCACAGCCACTAACCCCATTGACCACCAAGAGTGGGGACCCAAATGCACCCTGCTATGCTTCCACACACGAAATTCTTAATTGAAAGAACTGGATGCAGGAAAAAGTCTAATGTACAAATTCAACCTAGGTTACTTCATCTGAAAAGCTTACATGAAAAAGAAAACCAAACATCCTAACAGTGTCAGTGAACTGAGCTTGGGTTTTTCCCCTTTTCATTCTACTTCTGGTAAAATCTTTAAAGGGATTGTGACTGCTGTCTGAGAAGATGTCATTGGGTCTATGTATAATTTTACAGCAGAATTTCACCCATAAAACATAGCTGCAGATTCTGGTCACGGGAGAATGACACTGTTAAAACTGCAGTTGTATAGCACAGTTATGCACATCCGTGTTTGGAACAAATGGATCCACAAGGGATTTATGTGCATTCAGCTTGGAGAACCAAAAAACCAACAAAGCACGAGCAAGTTCATAGAGCATGAAAATGATTTTCCATGGACTTCAAATATATATGCTTATATGTTTATTTTTATTGTCCCCTTTCTTTGTACTTGAGGTTAGTGCCTGTGACTGTCCAATAACACATGGACTTGCTGGCTCTGTGTTCCCTCATGTGTTATTGACGCTTGTGGCTCCCAAGGCTCTTTAATTGTCGCCTGAAACTGACAGCTTTTTAGTTCTTCAGGTGTCTAGCAATGCACTTAATGAAGCCTTTACAATTATTATTTTAGCAGATAATTAGGTTTCTAATATTAAACAGTCTACTTGGCTGGCTTACAACTGAAACCCAGTTTATAATCATTGAAAAGAGTATTGTGATGGTGCTTAATGTCAGTGGTCAGTCACTGTCCACTTCAGAAAATTGAATTTGTCTAACAATTCAGAACTTCCTGTTTCTAGTGGAATTTTATCTTCAGTCATAATGACTTATTTTTATTACGAAGTGGTAATATTCCTATGCTATAGTTTAATGTTAGAATTCTGGTTTTGGAATGTTTAAGAAAGACCATGTGATCTCAAGTAACTACAGAAGCTGAATAGAGAGTAAACAGTGTACCAAGTTCAGGTGTTGATTCTTCGAATTAGCCACGTTTAGATGGTAATATGGGAGAAAACGTTTGTAGAGGTAGTATGCTTGGTAGGAAGATACTTGGAAAGTGTTCTGCTGTGCACCATAAGTGTCGTCTGTATGTACAAAGAACTCAAATGGTGATGAATAGATCTATGCTAAAGTTCACAAGGAGGCTCGAGAAGTTGGTGCAGACTGCCCACGTCTGAACAGTCCCAGAGGTGACTGTATGGGCCTTTTCTTTCAAAAGTCTCTCCTGAAGTCTCTTCTTTCCACGTAAGAGCAGTTTCTTTGAAAGCTTAATGCTTATTTACAAAGAAGTGCTGACTTCCATTTAATCTTAAGAATTTCATTTTTTTTAGCCCAGATAAGGACTTTTAAACCCCCCTCACCCCAATTTAAAGCAGAGTACTCTATTTGGTACTTTGTCTGAAATAATTGACTCGATGTCAGTGAGTTTGGGGTTTGGTTTACTACCAGTTGCCTTAACTTTCTAGTATTGATAACAGCGAGGTATATCATGCAGTGAACTCTTAAAATACGGTTTTATAGTTATAGAGGGAGCCCCGGTGGCACAGTGGTTAAAGCACTTGGCTGCCAACCTAAAAGTCAGCAGTTCGAACCATCCAGCCGCTCCATGGGAGAAAGATGTGGCAGTCTCCTTCTGTAAAGATTTACAGCCTTAAAAACACTCTGAGGCAGTTCTACTCTGCCCTGTAGGGTTACTGTGAGTCAGAATCGACTCGAGCAGTGGGTTTGGGTTGGGTTATAGCCATAGAGCAGGATTCCTCTGTTAAAGAGAACTGAGTATTTCTTTTCCTAATTTTGAGATGTGCTCTAAGCTCTGTGTTTGGGCCCAGCAATCACTGTACTTCTGCTGATCTCCAGGCCCGGCAGCATTGCAGCTGCTGGGACGTGATGATTATCAGGAAGTGCGCAGTAAGGAGCGTCTCTTGATAGCTGAAAGAGTTGGCTACCAATGTCTTAAAGGTAACTTTCAAGAGTAGCAACTCCTGTCAGTTCCCCCCAAAGATCTATTACCCCTGTGGCTAGGACTCAGAGTTAAATAGAACGCCTCTGAAGACAACCCCCCAGAGCAGGATGTGGTATATGGTGCTCGGAGCCGCAGGTGGAACAGAGCACGCTCCTGCCTCCAGCCCCATACTGAGAGGCCTTCTGAGCTGAGAGGTTTCTGAGAGCAGCTTATCCATTCACCAGTCTGAGAGTTTTGCCTTAATGCCATTAAGAAATGCAATGTTCGTATTTATTCAATTTCCCTATGATAAAAAAAATACTACATGTATAAGAAATTAGTTTTCAGACTTTTTTAGTCTGTGTAAAACTTTCCTTGAAAGATATGATGACGTTTGCCCTTTATACTCATTTTATGTCACTGACTACAAACTTCAGTTTGTACGCAGGGTGACATGGCCAATACAAAATTATAAACAGGAACTCTCGTTTTCTATCTTTATCTTTGTTCTGGCAACGCAGCAGCTCAAGGAAGGTTTCAGGAGGGGTCAGCCTCTCATGTGAACTTTTGCACAGATTCGCTACAAGCCATTTTCACAAATCGACAGGTGAATTTATGTGGTATGTTAATACAGTGGGAACTGGTGGAATTCCTTTTCTTCTGATGTACTGTTGTTTTCTCTCTCTCTCTCTTTTTTCCTGTTACCCCTTCAATTTTTACATGAAGCTTTCTCTCAAGCTGGTAAGCACAATTATCCCCTGCATGCCCTGAGTTTTACTTAGGTTTTTCTGTGTGTGTTTTGTGGGTGCTGTGCCAGTGAACATATCTTCAAACTTAACTCTTGCTTTATGTTTCTCTCGCGTGTGCTTTTGTTGGTGTTCCTTTATTAGATCTTTCAAATAGAAAGGTCCAGAAGCTAACAGAGATGATCTTCATCTTTTTTAAAGCTGCTAAGAAAATTAACACTTAACTCATAATTTGGTTTTCTTTATTGTTGAGGCTTTAAGAGGATGGTTAATGTTAATAAACTTTATATAAATATGTGAAGATTAAATATTGTAGAGTTTATTTACTGAATCATTTTGAATAAACATAAATTTAGTGATTGAAAGCTGCTCCTCTCTGAGAGTCAGAGGAGTAAGTGAGAAAAGCTGGGGTCCTGAGGGAGACTTGCAGGAATGCTGCCAGCCTACGGTGGCCACTCAGGTTCAAGGCGGACTCGGAGAACTGAAAACCAGCAAGTTTTTCAGATGCTACGTAAATATATTTGTGTCTTATGTCCACTTTATTTAAGAAGTCACAAGGTGATATCATGGACAGTGAGAAGAGCCTCCTAAGCCTTTCCAGTTATTGACTTAGTGGTCTGTGTTCTTTTTATTTAACTTTATAGTGAAGAATCAAACTAATAATTAAATCCATTAAAAGAAACCCTTAACCAACATAACCCATAACTATACTTCAAATATGTGTAAGTTAAATAATATTCTCAAATTCCACAGCTGATATCCTAAAATAACAGACAATGATGAACTGTGGTAATTTAACCAGGAATAAGATCAGCACTTTAAACACTGCTTTGATAACTTAGAATAGTGTTTTATGGCTGTCCTTACATATACATTTATGTGTGTATACATGAGCATATACATATATGGACATGTATATGTATATGCATACTTTTTCATCCTGACTCAGTGTTTGGCACCTGGCTCAACCCTAAACAAAAAGGTTATTTTATTAAATTAAACGTTTCTTAGCCTGAAATAAAATCCTGAGAACTGTGCTTGATTAAAGTCTCTGCGAGAAGGAAAGAGAGCTAGACACTTCAGTGAATTTAGTTTATTAGCAGTGTTAATTTGGGAGTTTTTCTCAGATGCCAGGGTCCCTTTCTTGCCCTGTGTCTGTTCTTTTGCTGGGGTGTTAGCAGGAAGAAGTGATACTTTAGGCAGTGTTTCTGTTTGAAATACGTTTTACCAACTTCGTATTGAATTGTTGCTTTGTACCATTACTTTGAAGCAAATAAAACTGTGTAGTGTTGTACCAAAAAAATGGCTCCAGTGTGAACAATAATAAAATCACAAGAGGCACTTGTGCTGTTTGGTTGGAGTTGCCCAGGAACTAGTGTGTGACTCTGTTAGCATGTCAAGTAATAGCCTCTTAACACAGCACAGCCACTTAAAATATGTGTGTGTGACTCCCTCTGGTAGTCTGGTAGTAGGGCCACCGGGTGTGGCTGTTCCCTTTGTAAACTGGGCAGCTCCAAAGATTTCAGAAAATGTATTTTGACTCAAAGCTGGAAATAAAAATTCCTTCATAGGTCAGAGTATTGTTTAAAAACATTCCAGCTTCAAAAGGCTAATTGGATGAAATGACCTTTAAAGGTCCATCTGGAAACCTTACGTTTCCTTGGCTTGAGAAAAGACTATTGACCTGACTCTCCAAAGGGGACATGAAGTTTGTTTGAGGCAGTTGCTGATACTAGTTTTTCAATAACAACACAGAAGCATCTATTAAAAGAGACCTGATTGTTTCGGTTTCTGTGAATCATCAGTGTTGGATTGTTTTGTTGTTGTTGTTGAGGGTATCTATTTATAACTGGTAAGTGCAGTGTGTGTTACTTACAGATTTCTTTGCAGCTGTTTATATACCAGTGTCCTATTTACATTCTAGACCTGCTCTGCCCTACTAGCCACATGTGGCTACTTAAATTCTAAAATTCCATTTCACAGTTGCGTTAGCCACTTTTTAAGTGCTCAGTAGTTACACATAGCTAATGGATACCTTATTGGTGCAGATGTAAAACGTTTCCATCATTGCAGAAAGTTCTATTGGACCCATAGCCAATAGCATTAGGCGAAACCTGAGAAAGCTTCTAGTTCAACCCCACCCATCAGAACAGAAGCATAAGAGGGGAAGTTGCTAACAGTTTACTCCCAGAGTTCCATAGCCTCACCCAGGGCCCTACACATTGTAAGCTCAGTAAACATTAATGGAATGAACATTGACCACACACTAGGTTTCCTGATTTCGGAAACAGTGTACCTCACCCTGTTTTATTGCATTCCAGTTAAAAAAAAAACAAAAAACACCTGAGTTCTAGAAAACATGCTGAGCTACTGTAAGTGAATTCATCATGAGAACAATTTTTTTTTTTTTCCCCTAGACTCCATGATTGAATTGAGGATAAGCAAATAATTAAGATTTGAGATATTTTAACACTCTAGTATATGGAATTGACTCAACAGCAGTGAGTTTGGTTTTTTTGGTTTAGTATATGGGAAAGAAGAAAGTCTTATTTATTTTTATACTGATGATTAGTTTTGCTTCATCTTAGTTTCAGAGTCTAATGAAACTTCTTTGTTTTAGGGAAAAGTCACTTCCATTCTGGTTCACCCAAATCTTATCTCTTCCCACTCAACACACACACAACCAGCGAGTGAAAGCCACTCGGTCAGTGTGTCCTATGGGAGAGTCTTTGAGCACACTGGCCGAAAGGTCTTTGTGTGGCCTTTGTGGTAAACTATGTGCTGAATCACACACTTCCCATCACAGCAGCCTGGCATTTTCACATAATCAGCCCAAGAACTTCAGTCACAAGCCCCCGGGTAAGCTACTTGGCAAACTCAACTTGATTTTGGAATTGCATTATCTGGGGCCCTTCTTTTCCACCCACTCCCAAGCCAGTCTTGCCCTTGTTTTAAAAGAACTGAAGTTTTAAAGTAAAATCTCTTTTGTAAAATCCCCTGGCTTATTTTTGGTTATTGAACAGATTTCCCTTTCTCTCTGAAAATAGCCCCTTTTTAAGTAAAAGCACTTGCTGCCACAACTTAGCCCCAGCTTTCTAACAAGCACATATATGAGTCTGGAAACTGTTGATCTTTTCTACTTAAATCACATGCACAAAGATAGCAATACTTTTGGAAAAGGAATCAAGATATCAGTGTACTTCTACACATAGATTGCAAACAGCTGAGAGTGATTTCAGACACCATGGGAAGTTGATTTTTGAGATCAGGGAGAGCATTCTGTATGAATTCTTTAAGGCTACCCTAAAGTTAAGGAGCTAGCCAAGTGTCTAAACGACATGAGCAGACTCTGAGAGGCAGCTGAGGGAAGAGTGAATGGGGGAGGAGGATGTATTTTTTTAATATCCTTTTCACCCACACTCTCTGAGGAATGTGATGGCCCATCTGTCAATTCACGGGAATGGAAACTTTTGGCCTCAGCCTTGTGTGAAGAGATGGGAAGGAATACCCAGACCAGGGCAAAAAAGCAATGCCTGAGACATGAAACAGTTGATGGGGGACTTATCCTTATAATAAGGAAACTTAAACTTCCTTATGTTAAGGTGGAAAAAACTCCAGTGTTACCACAGACCTTGATGGTAACAGCTTGTAGTAAAATGAAAACTGTCTCAAAATGTGTTTTTAGTTGATTGTTACTGGAGTCAGAAGTATTTCTTCCTTTCTCTCCTTCCTGTAGCATTGCTCCTCGCCTTTTCAGAGGCATTTTTGGCTAGCATCAGTGGAATGTCACATGGTTTGTGGGACTTTTGCAGTTTGCATGCATTTCAGCTGGGTGTGATGGGAAAGAGCTTATTTTATTTCATGAAAACCTATGCAAATTTCTGTATCCACCTGTTGTCAGAGGAATATTTCTTGCAGACTTAACTTAGTATTTTTTCTTTTTTTTTTTTGAAGGGGTGCCTTAGGGCTTTCTAGCTTCTTATTTGTATTTGTATCTGCAGGGTGCAACACCAGAGGATTTCAGCAACCTCCCCCCTGAACAGAGAAGGAAAAAGCTACAACAGAAAGTCGATGAATTAAATAAAGAAATCCAAAAGGAGATGGATCAAAGGTAGAGTGGCTCAATATGACTTACTAAGAAATTCAATTCCGTTTGAAAATACAATAAATCCTAAAATAGATTAAAAGCTATTATTTGAGCAGTGTGTTTTTGTCACAGACAGTCTGTGACTTGCTTTATTAGGAGATTCGCTTTTACAAGTAATTTTTATTCTGAGTTTTGGGAGCAGCATACATATGGTTATCTCTTTTATTAATTTTAATTATTTAAAAAAAACTTTTATTGTGATTTGGGTGAAAGTTTACAGAGCAAATTCCATACAGCAGTTCATGAAACTTTGTTTCATAACATTGACTATAATCCCCACAGTATAATAGCTCTCTTCCCACTTCCTCCCTATAGTTACCTCCTCCCTGTGCCCTTCTTTGCTATACATTCCTGCCCCCTGAGCTCTCGTGGCATGGTACCTAAGGCATTTGACTGCTAACCAAAAGGCTGTCAGTTCAAACCCAAGGAGGGGTCACTATGAGTCAGAACCGACTTGACGGCAGTGAGTTTGGTTTTTTGAGCTCTCTCCTGTGCAAATACTGCCCTTCTGTAATCCCATGATTGATCGTTCAAGGAGTTGTTCTGGTTACCTAGTACCGCTCTGACAAGAATATACCACAAATGGGATGGTGTGAACAAACAGGAGTTTATTTTCTTACAGTTTGGAGGCTTTAAGACTGGGTTCAAAATTCTAGGCTCTAGGGGCTGGATGAAAACTCCTCAACCTTGGGCTTTAGTTCTGCCTCCTGCTCCAAGCCCACTGAAGCTGGAGGCTTTTCTTCACTCAGACAGCTGCTGGCTGCTGAGGCTGACAAACCCAAGGTTTGACAAGTAAAAAGCCACAGTCCTGATATTACCAAACCACATGGCAGGCCGTTCATCCAAGTCCATTAAATCTCAAGATTGGCAGAGCATGGCAGGCTGCTGAACAACTTGACTACATGCAGGGTTCAAGTGTGCCATAAACTAGAGACCATTCCCCAAGGCTTCTCCTTATATACAGGAAGCAGACCACATCCCTAAGGCAGCTTCTCAGCTGCTCATAGTAGATTCTACCATGGAGTTGATGACCAGTCTCATCATGGGTAATACTACATCCAGCTGCCCAGCCACTCAAGCAGGCCCAGCCAAGTTGACACACAGCTGAACTACCACAGGACTGTATGTACTATGTGTAAATGTTCACCATATATGCTTGTCTATTGTTTGGCTGGAAGCCATGGGAGTGAGTTCAATTCCAGACTGGTTATCTCTTTTATCACAAGTGTATAGGGAAGTGTTTTTGTCCATAGAAGAAAGGGAGAAGTGGCATAACTCCCACTCTCTCCCTTGCCTCATAACCTAGCTTTGGATTCAGAATTTGCTTGTCTTTCTTTTTGAGTATAAGTAAAAATCAGCCTCCATGTAGGTTTCTTTTTTTTTCCCCTTTCTATTTATTTATTTTTTTGTTTGTTTAATTTTTGCAGTGTTTCCTCCCTTCCCCCTCCCTCCCCTCTCACCCCTGGTAACCAACAAATTTCATATAGGTTTTTTTTTAATGCATTTTATTGAAATATAATTTATGTACAGTGAAATATGCAAAATTAAAGTGACATGGGTTAATGTTTTTTTTTTTTTTCTTTGCATTGTTTCCTCCCCTCCCCTCCCATCCCTGGCAACCAACAAAGAAAGTTTCCCTCCATATATAAACATTTCCTTGACCCGCCACACAACAAACTAATATTATATTTGTCCTTCTGTGATTGACTTATGTCACTCAGCTTAATGTCCTCCAAGTTTATCCATATGATGCGGTGTTTTGCAGACTCTACATTATTCTTTAGTGCTGCATAGCATTCCATTATGTGTATGTACCATAGTTTGGTCATCCACTCTTCTGCTATAAATCTTAGAGATAAGTCCCCTACCAGATATGTAATTATCAGCAAATATGAATTTGTTTTGGTCATTTTTGTTATGTGCTTTTTCGTGGTGTCGATTTCTTTGTTCTGTATAATTTTCTATGCTGAGCTCGTTTTGTATGTGAATCGTGTTATCACTTCATTGCTATTGTTTTAGTATTAGCTGAATATTTATGCTGGTCCTCTTTTTTGATGTGAAGGTTTATCATTTTTCTTTGAGGTTACCCTGTGATTTATTGTTTTCTTCCAAGTTTAGAACAGTCCGTTCTATCTTGCAGTTGTCTTGACTTCCCTACCATCTAAAAGTTCTGTAATAACACAGTTTTTTTCCCTCTTTTTGGTTTGTAGTTGTCCTCATTTGTCAATTGATGTCTCTGGTTCCTTGTTTACAATCTTGTAGGTTATTTACTTTGGATACTTCCATAGCTGGGTTGGTTTCTGGGTTATATCATCATGTGTGTTAATGGTTGGTTGTTGTCGGCTGTTGTTGCTTCTCTGTCCAAAGGGCACCCTTTAGCATCTCTTGTAAGGTTGTCTGGTTTTAACAAATTCCCTTAATTTCTGCTTATCTGAAAATGTCCTAATTTCACCATCATATTTGAGGAACAGTTTTGCTGGGTACATAATTCTTGGTTGGAAATTTTTCTCTTTCAGTGTTTTATATATACCATCCCATTGTCTTGTCGCCTGCATGGTTTCTCTCGAGAAATTCGAGCTGAGTCTTATTGGTTGCCCCTTGTAGGTAACTTTTTGTTTTTCCCATGCTGCTCTCTTGATTCTCTGTCTTTGTTTTTGGTAAGTTTGATGATGATATATCTGGGTGATTTTCTTTTGGGGTCTATCCTGTTTGAGGTTCACTGGACTTCCTGAATGTGGATATATTCTCATCTTTCATCATACCAGGAAAATTCTCTTCCAACAAATCTTGGACAATTTTCTCTGTGGTTTTATTTGTCTTTTCCTGTTCTGGAATTCTGATTACACATAAATTATTCCTTTTGATGGTATCCCACATGAACCTTAGGCTTTCTTCCTTTTGTTTTGATCTTTTTTTTTTTTTTTTTTTTTTTTTTTTTTTTTTTTTTTTTTTGGATTGATCCCTTTCCAAAGAAGTGTTCAGGTATTTGCCTTCAATCTCCCTAATTCTTTCTTCCATTGATTCAATTTTTCTCCTTTGCCCATTCAATGGAATGAAAATTTAGTATTAATCTTCTGAATTTGTGTGTAGATTTTGTATCATTTCTAATTTTTCATTTATTTTGTCATTTTGTTCTTGTATTTTCTTTCAAAATTGTTATAGGGTTTTCCCTGTGTTTTCCTGATCTGCCTCTCAATTTGTTGAAGATACCTAAATATAATTCTTTTTAATTCCTTATCAGGGAGTTCCAATGCTGCATCTTCCTCAGGGATGTGTTCTGGGTCTGTATCCTGGTCTCTTGTTTCTCCTGCTTTATCTAGCTTCTTTGTGTGGACTGTGATGCTCTGTTGTCTCCGAGGCATTATGACGTTTTGGTGTTTATATTTATGATTGTATGTTGGAGTGACTTGCCCACGATTTTTGGGTTTGTTTTTTTTTTTTTTGTATGTTATCTATGCAAGCAGGGTACTGTGCCCCTCTATTCTCTAGTTGACAGCACTTATTCACTCACCACGTGTCTCCTTTCCTGTTATCAGCCTCTCATATGTCCGTGCTGACCTTGGTAAACAGAGCCTATTCTTAGGTCCTGGAATGTGAATGAGAATGCTATCACTTTAAAGTCCAAAATGGTTGCCACTTGTAAAGATTCAAAATGGCTGCACCCTCAGTCACTTCAGATATCCAAGATGGCTGCCACTTGTAAACATTAAAAAATGGCTGTGTCCTCAGTCACTTTAAATATCCAAAATGGCCACAGCTTGCAAACATTCAAATGTCTGTGCCCTCTGGACAGTGGAAAGTCAACAGCTCAGGTTGTCTCCCTCCCTGCTGTTTCCCTTCCTAGTCATAGGCCACCAGTGAGTCATCCCTGCAGGCCTTGGTGACCATGGCTGATCTTTAGGTCAATTCCCAGGTCCCAGCACTACTTCGAAATATTCAGACTGTTGGTCTCGTCAGAGTAGCTAATAGTCCGCAGCTCTGACTGTCTCTGTACTCACTGTTTTTGTTCAGGTTTTTCCACTAGTTGGTGCCTGATCCACTTCTGCATAGTTCCTTTCAAAGCTCAGGGCTCCAGGATTATCTTCTGTATCTCTGTCAATTGGTTTCTCTTTTCTTTGTTGAAGAGAGTCTGTGTCACTTGTCTGCCTATTCCTCCATCTTACCGGAAGTCTCATATAGGTTTTTTAAGACTTTCTTTTTATAAAGTGTATTGATGGTATCTAGAAAACAAATCACAGCATGTCTTAATATGCACACCACCAGATATTAGAGGTATAAGTGTGTGCATACTGTCAAGAAGAGTCTGAACCAGGCTCCCACCTCAAGGGTTCCCAGTTTTCTGAGCTGTTTTGTAATTTTGGTCTCTGGGATGATAGGTTGGTACACATACAAAAATAAAGGAAAAACTTGATTCAGTCTCTTTGCTCACTTGTGTTTTCCTTCTCACATTTATAACCGTAAAAACTTCTACATCATTTAAGAGATATTTACTAATAACCCTGACTGAAAAGTTGCTTTATTAATTGCTTCTCACCTTATATGTTCTCAGTGAATAAAATTGGTGAATCATTCATTTATTTGAGATTTGAACTTAAATGATAATTTGAAATTTATGCTCCATAAATAGGACAAATGGTGATCTTATGTACAACTTAGCTATGTTGAAGCTGGGGTTAAAATTTGGTTATGGACCTCAGGCCCAAATGGTGGCTTAGTCAGACATACCATGCCATCCCTCTATAGCAAAGACCTGAGAAATTAAGTGAAATCTTAGAATCCTGACCATCAAACAAAAGGATAAATAAGTAGATTGAACAGTGATCAGAGGATGAAACTGACTGACAACAGTGAATTGCCCCTGGAATATGATGTGAAATTAGTTCATTTCCAAATAAACAGAAATAAAGGGAATTGGTAAAAAGCCAAACTCACCTTGTAAGAAATGCTAAAGGGAGTCTTTTGGA